CGATCATATGCCAACATGGAGGCCACAGACATTGTGGACACCAAACAGGTGAGCCCAAAATGATGATTGCCGGTTTTTTATTTTTTCACTTCATTGCGTATAGATTGCTGATGGTATTTTTGTATTTACGTGATCAACAAAGGTAGTAAAAAACTATATGTTGATTTTTGGCTCTTTTCTATTTCAAAAATCAAATTATTGATGTAATTATAGTTGAAATATATTTTATTCACAGTAAAAGCAAGATAATACGAATTAGAATCACTTAAATTATATGAATCAAACCAAGGTAAAGTGTGGGTGAAGTAGACTGCAACCCACACTTGTGCAGAATAAATTATTTATATTAGAACATTGTTATGAGCCATACTTGTCATATGAAATGTGTGTGTGGGGTCTCCTTTTGTTCTTGTACATACCTTTTGTAATTATATTGGTACGACTTTCCATTGACGTCAGTGGAGTTTGGTGTTGATACGTATTTTTACAGAAAGATTACACTATTATAAGCACACACACAAAGTCTCATTATACGGAAACGCGTAATTTTTGAGAAAAGAATAATTGAAAATCAATTATTCTTGCAATGTTTATATCTAATCTGCTAATAAACTGGCGCCATTTTGTAATGTCATTGTCGACGTCAATAGGGATGTCGATTCGAAAAAGGTCGATTTTTAAATCGATTCAAATCGTAAGTGGATGTATCGATTCCCAAAAAATCGATTTCTAAAATATCGATATTTTTTTCATGTTTGCATTTATAATGTAAATATAAATCCATTTTATGAGAAAAAAATCCCCTTCATCATAAAAAAATAAGGGGACTGATTCATAAGGATTTCTGTATCTATTTTGAGACTGCTACGTCTCCGGCGCTGCGGGAAGAGCAACCTCTACGCCTTAGCGTAACAAATCGCAGGCATCCCTCCTCGTCTCCGCAGCTTCGGCTTGTTGGTCGCCTTCGGCGACCAGCCTCAGCCGCTCCGGCTCGTCCGATGCCTACGATTTGTTACAGCAGGCGGAGGCTGCTCCCCCTACGCGCCTCCGGCTCTATAAAACCACTCTAGGGGTAGGACAGACTCGTACCAGGTGGAGTCGGGGTCAATCAATTCGGTTCTTTGACATAAGTTGAACCTAACCTATTTTATTTGTTACCTGCCCTAATAGGTACTGTTAAATAAAACAAATTTCAATAAGAGATCATTTATCATGGTATCTTTCTTGTTTTTCATAAAATGGGTTTATATTTACATTATAAATAGAAACATTAAAAAAATATAGATATTTTAGAAATCGATTTTTTGTGAACCGATACATAAGCTTACGATTTGAATCGATTTAAAAATCGACCTTTTTCGGAAAGAATCGACATCCCTATTGACGTCGACAATGACATTACAAAATGGCGCCAGTTTATTAGCAGATTAGACATAAACATTGCAAGAATAATTGATTTTCAATTATTCTTTTCTCAAAAATTACGCGTTTCCGTATAATGAGACTTTGTGTGTGTGCTTATAATAGTGTAATCTTTTTGTAAAAATACGTATCAACACCAAACTCCACTGACGTCAATGGAAAGCTAAGCCATTATATTTTATAGTTGGCCATTGAAAACTCAAAAATAAATGATATCCTGATGTATAATATTGTGTGACTATTCATACTCTTTACAGTTTTTTCATTAAATTATCAGGGAACATCATTAAATATACTGTAGTTAACAACATATTTTATATTTATGAACCAAAATGACTTATTCACAATGTTTTTAAGTTTATAGTCAAGAAATTAAATTTCTTGAAGTTATTGAAACTCATAGCTACTTACCACATAGGGCAGAACAATGCCTTCCAGGATTGTTAGTATTTTAGTACAATTCGTAAGGGGTGACCACTTGAATTATTTTTTTCATGTGTTTGTTATTGTTGCTATTATTTTATTAGTATTTTTAGATCAAGACTTTATTCTATTATTATCATTTTATCTCCAGGTCAAGTCATTTTATCTAAACATGTTCTAAACATCTAAGATGTGTTAAGAGATTTTTCTGACATTTCCCTGTGAATTTATTGCATCATTGGTACTGTTGTTTATAAAGGGCGGTTTCTCTACTTCTGCTTTTAATTAATGGAAGTGAAAAGCCAATGATATATATTAAAAATTTCAATTTTGCAAGAGAATTCAGAATCTACAACAAAAGACAACATTTTTAATAACCATTACCAAAATTATTTGATCATTTTACAAAGGGTGCTTTCCCTATATTATGCACTAGCTGTTCCCCTGGACTTGTTTGTGTGGAATTAATTACAGTTGGATTTCATGGGTTTTGGTTTTTTCACACAGAACCCTAATTGTTTTTTTAAAATAAAAGTAGCCTAAGTTACTCCTTATGATGTCAGTTATCTGCCAGTGAAAGCTTGTCAAAATTGGTTTAGCCATTTCAGAGATTAGCGGGAACAAACAGACAGACAGACAGATGGACAAAAATGATTAAAATTGTTTTTTTTTATTAGTATGGTATATACCTACATACACATTTATTAAAATGATGTTACTTTGACATTACAAACAGACACTTCAATTTTATTTATTTGTATAGATGTATTTATAGAATCAAATGCAAAGTGAGATTAACTAATAAAAAGGTATGTAAGACAAGTTTGCAATGGACATCTTCCTTTAGTATACTTTTGTTTCTCATTATGAAAATTAAAGCAACCATAATTTTATTACTTTTTTTTTAATATTGATTATGACACTGCTTGGAAAACTTAATGTTAACATTAAAATCTCAACTAAGATTCTTAATTTTAATGATTTGGCTTTGGCTATTGCAGTAGTACAAATAATTTTATTCATTGTATGATGTCCTAATTATTTATAAATAGCTGATATTGCATTAAAGTTACAGCCTATATAATATGTCTCACTCCTTGGCACAGGCCTCTTCTCATTACTTAGCAGGGTTTAGAGCAAGGAAGTGTCCACTGTGCTGCCACAATGTGTGTAACTTTACATGTCTTGAAATATTTTAATAATTTTATAGGTTTCCTCACAATGTTATCCTTTACCATTGAGCAAGTGGTAAATCAGCACTTAAAATTGCAACTAACAAATTCATTGGTGCCACTTAAATCAAAATTGGGCTGCTTGTGTACTGTGAAATTTACAGTGAGCGCTTTTCACTTGAGCTACTGTGGCTAAGGGTCATGGTAGCTTGGGGCATAACATTGCATTTTATTTATTTATTACAGCCCTTCCCAAGTCTACTGCTGAACATAGACCTCCTCCATCAAGGAATATCATAAAGCACAGTCCTGAGGCACCTGCTTCCGTCCATTGTCTTCCTGCATCTCTTATATAAATAAGTTGCTGTGAATCATAACTTATTGTTTGCATAAATTGTTGTAGCTATATTATATAGTAAGTGGTATCCCCCCTCTTCAACTACACTATTTCTCAGTATACTTAACACAACTATAATATATAACAAATAGCAGCTCAATGCTGCTGTGTTTCATATGGTGAGTGTAGAGAACCGGAGACCCTTCTTACTGGAAATGAGGCTTTCCATTTTAGTCCTCACGTGTGACAATGCATCTGCATCTTGATTCATAATTGAGGATAGATCTAGATGTTTATGGGCCACAGCAACCACTTACCATCAGGTGGACTGTGTGCTTGTTAGTCACCCTAATGCTATAAAAAAAAGCTAGTTTTACAATTTTAAGGCATTTTCAGACTTATCAAATTTTTTGGATAGTTAAACATTTGTATTGGAATTTTCTTAGCTCATAAATTACAAGTACCTGGTTGTTTTTTATTTCCATTGTAATTGTTTATAATATGACCAGATAGAAACTCTCACAGAATTATTTTCCGTCCCTTCATTACAGTCCATCGAAATCCACTGCTGTGCATAGACTTCTCAATAAATTGCCGCATAATATCCCCCATATTGCCATAGTTGCCACGCTTGGCAGGCGGGGTTTTCAACTGCAGCTTTTTATTATTGAGTTGTTACCAGGGGATGCTGCTGATACTACCCATCTCCTATTTTATGTCCATCTGCCACCTCTTTCGATACACAAGGGATGTAGTCCTACGCAGGCAACACTACACTACAATTGTATTAAAAGTTACAACATAATATGTATACATCCCACTGCTGGGCACAGGCCTCCTCTCATTACTAAGAATGTTTTTAGGGCAAGGAAGTGTCTGCCGCGCTGACCCAATGAGAATTTTCAGACTTTACATGTCTTCGAAATATTATTTTTTATGCAGCTGTATATAACAGAACTTATTTTAACAAATTGCTACACAAGTAAGTCTCCAACTTTCAGAGCTTTAGTATAGACTAGCTGTTCCCCGCGACTTCGCTCGCTTGTTAGGGTTTTTATATTTTTGCGCGGAACCCTAATTCTTTTTCTAAAATAAAAGTAGCCTAAGTTACTCCTTATGAAATCTGCCAGTGAAAGTCCCGTCAAAATGGGTCCAGCCGTTTCGGAGATTAGCCGGAACAAACAGACAGACAGACAGACAGACAGACAGACAAAAATTTTAAAAATTGTATTTTAGTTATAACCACAATATTTACTTTCATATGCATTTAGTAAAAAAACTAATTTTCACATTACAAACAGACACTTCAATTTTATTTGTTTTTATAGATTTAAGTATAATACTGATATAATCCAAGCCCTTTTACACACTGTTCCATTTAATTATCGTGCCTTACGGCGCGACGCATATATGAAGGCAACGAAAAATCAACAACGCTATCTCATCAAATAGTATTCTAACGTCTTGGTAGTAGGGGTAATCAATCGTGTTAGGCTGTCCGGCTTGAGCTCGACAGTTAGATCGCGGGCGCGAAACGGCGCACGCGCAGCCGAAGAGTCCGCGCAAAGTGATGTGACCGGCCTGTACAGTGGTGTCATAATAATTAATAAATAAATTACGAGTATTCGTGTAGTGCTGTGCTAACGATGGTCGCTATGGTGGCATCCGCGTCTGGATACGGTACTCTACGCCGTTTTCTAAGCGCGCCCGAGGGTCAAAACGTGGAGCAGGCCGGGCAAGTGGTCACGACAACTTCGGTTGCAGTCTCGGTAAGAACTAAACATATGGGAAATAATTCATTTTGAAATAATACGAAACTCAAAAAATTCTGCTCTGGATATATTGGTAGAGTGAGTTTTCTTTGAATAGAAAAATCTATCAATCGTTTTCTCCGTTGTCACTGTGTGTGTGTGTGTGTGTATGTGTGTATGTGTATGTGTGTATGTGTACACGGATATACTAACGTTATTATTTTATGCGTAAGGAATGTTGATAATGACGCTCGCTCGGCCGACCCGTTTTTTACCTACTGTGAAGCTATGTCGCATATCAATATTTCTGTTCATACGATAACTTGAGACGATAACACACCTGCTATTTAGCAATAACACAATCGTAAACCTGTAATCATACGTACCTAAATATATTTTCTAAATGTTAAAAGAGCATAATTTTTGTTAAAATGTGACATTCTTTTTAAACGCTAGGATTTACATTAGTATTCAATAAATTACATTAGGATTACGGATCAGAAAGCTAAAATGGCAATGAGCCGGCCATATAATTCCGTAGGCCATATAATTTCGTAGGCCATATAATTCCGTAGGCCCAATAGAACCAACAGCCGTTGGTGAAGAAAGGTTCTCTAGTGGCAGCTTAGCACTACCGGTAAGTGTAGGGCGGCCACCCACTAGATGAAGTGACCCGCGGCGCCGCATACAAACGATTAGCCACTGTGCTTCCGAGCCGTGTTTTCGAATTTAAAGTATTGGCACAGAATAAATAATGGTACAAGAAGTATTAAAAAAAATACGAGGATTTGAATCATGGTTAAATATATATTTATACGTGATATAGCCATGCTGCAGCTATATTATAGTTGCAGCATGAATGGGTCGGCTCGACCCGGGTAGGAATGTCACAGAATACATACCAGCATAATATAGTATTTGTTTTTCGTAGAGCAACGGAGATCCTTTTTATTGGAAACGCCTATTCCATTTTAGTTCTCAGTCGTAGCAAAGCATCTACATTTTGATTCTTAATAGAGGATAGATGTAGGCTCACTATGGGCCACATCATCCACTTACCATCAGGTGGACTGTGTGCTTGTTAGTCACTCTTATTCTATAAAAACATCCTCGAAACAAGTGATATCCGAGCAATAGCAAAGTAAATAAATTTTATTGTATCTACACCATATTAAAAAAAAAACAGAATTAGAAACAAAAAATGCTACATATCTGTAATATTTATTAATTATTTACTAAGCGTACGGCGATAAAGTAGCGAGTAAGCTCATTTCTCTCGTACTCGATTTTTATAAATATACTGATTTTATTACGTTCATTTATTCATTACAGCCTAGTAGTCACTTACCATCAGGTGAGCCGCATGCTCGTTTGCTACCTCTCCTATAAAAAAAGCCTATCGGAGTCCATTGCTGAACAAAGGTTTCCCCAATAGATTGCCTTATAGCGCGGATTTTTGCCACAGATGCCACGCTTTACAAGCTGTTTATGAACCGCTGTTTTTTTTAATAATTTGTAGTTGTTATCAGGAAGATGATGCGGCCCATCTCTTGTTTCATTTTCCTGCTGTGACCTCTTACGATATCCATGGGATGACATGGGCGAGTGTATTATCTTACCTTGCTACAACACGATTTCATATCGATAAATTTCATCACAATAATACAGTATGTCACTAGAGAAAAGTATAGTTTTCTATCGGTGAAACAATTTTAAGAATCTGAGCAGCGGTTTCAGAAATTACATCTTACAAACAAATGTCACCGTTTAGTGGCGGTGTAAGAATATCCACAACCCCATATAGACCCGCGGGTGTCGTAAGAGGTTACAGAGGATAAAAAGTAAATGGCAGCAGCGTGTTCCTAATAACAACTTAAAAAAAATGCGGTTGGTAACCGGCGCAAACGTAGTAACTATGGCAAACGTTCCCCCTTAATAACTACATTAAACTTTAATTTGAACAGTAAGGCAGCATTATTTTTCATTACCGTCGCAATGAAATTATTGCTGTGGTTCAATTCAGCAGAGTTAAAAGTAATTTGGTAATATAAAAGCTTAGAAAGTTTTACATTATAACATCTATTATTATGAAACGTTTTAAAATCTGCGAATTCCACTACAATAAGAAGTGTCCGACCACTACGGATGCTCTCTGTCTGTTGGTGAATTTCTAATCCAGTTAGATTATAAGTTATAACGTAACTATAAAATCGATTCATTTCTTATTTAACGCTTGTTCCATATAGCTGTCTAGATTTTATAAGCGAGTGGTGTCGTGCGATATTTTAACACAAAAAAAGTACGATCAATGGTCTACTGTGACCGACCGGAGCGGGGTCGTCAACCTAGCTTTCGTTTTTGATGTTGCGGTAGAAAATATTTCCCATCGATTGAAATTCGTCCTTGCGTTCGCTTGCTTACAACGATGAGTTTTGCTATCGTCGGTGATGTCATCGTCATCTGGCCGGGATAAGGCGGGATTGACTGGCAAGGTTAGACCAACAGACCGTGGCTGTATCTCGGGTACACGGCTCGTTGATCTCCCGCGAAAGGAGAACATCGCGCCGTGGTTAGCGAACCAGATCATACCACTTATTAGATTTTTACCCCAGCTAATTACAAAAAAATTTTTTTTAAACCGAAAGCGACGTTCCAATACCTCAATGATAAATTCTTATTGGTATATTTTACGCCTAAAAGATGTTCTACTAAGTTTTTTCAATGTGCTCTGTATCATTTAATAATTAAACAGATTATCGATAAAACTTTTATTATCTTTTCTAATCAGAGCGACACTAATGCTGGTTACAAATTCTTTAACGGTGTAATGATTCAGATATTTATATCACGAATATGAAATTGAAAATTATTATATTGCTAAAGATTTGGAAATTTTCAATGCACAAAATGTTTTTTTAATCGAAACTATGTTATGAATATTAGTTATAGTATATTGTAGATGTTGATTATAATTAAATTCTTGTATTATATTTACTTTAATTAAAGCATGGTTACTTATCTGTTAAGCGAACAACTCTTACATTTATATGGTTATTTAGAAATAAAAAAAAATAAACATGTTTATTTCTTAGGTGAGACGCAGGCTTAATGAGATTGTAAGGGTATATTGGGAAATATTATTGAAGGTTCGTTAATTTGAATCTAATAGAAAACTCCACCGAACCAATACAATTATGATGCTAAAATAGAGAGTGGTAATCTCGTAATATAAACCGATTGTTTATAGCCTCCTTTCCCACTATTTCTTAAGAGTCCGATATACCTATGCTCTCGAATTTGAATACTTTCGCAATTTGTCATGACCTTATCGTATCTGTTTTATTGCTTTTTGAGCACAATTTAGCAACTTTTTCTCTCCTTGCATGTGATACGTTGTACATTTATTTAGTTTTTTTTTAATAGTTTCCTAATCCGGTGTCTAATAGAAAATGTTCATTGAATCTATGTTAAGTTTGATTGTCTGTTAAATGTGTGCAACCATTGTCTGTGTTACATATGTTTTATTCGCGTAAAGCACGTATAAATATTTACGTATCTATATATAAAGAATGTGCAAAAGATTATGAACAAATTCTTTGAGCGTTACTTCATTTTTAACTATTATAAAGCCAGTACTTAACTAGTGACTACTATCGAACCTGATGGTAAATAGAGATGTAACTGGCGATAGGAAAGCGCACTGACTCAGCTTAACAAAAGCCTACTCACTGTTGTCTTGAAGAGCCCCACATTGTAATCGGATGGGACGTTTTTAAGTATGATTTACAATTTAAAATTTTCGCAATATCGAAACATTGTAATATATCTTTAGAAATATTAGTAAGACGTTTTAACGTTTAAAATATTTATATTTACAATATTCATATCACAATTCTTGTTTAGACCTTTAGACACACCATTTCTGAAAACGACGTTTCCTGTCTGTCCATTTTCTATTAAGTCAGTTTATACCATTTCCGGACAGTTACAGATAACTCATATTAAATACGTGATTCGAATCGCGGGAAGCGAAAGAACTTGCCGCAGGAATTCTAATTATACAAAAAGTCATTGAAAACTTGTTGCTACAATCGTTTGTTCTGACTAAGGCTGCATTTAACTTCGCTAAATCTTGATCGAAATCGATGATTGAATATTGTACTTAATATTTGTTATATAACAAATATTTTGCTTATAGTAATTATATATTTATATATATTATAAAAAAAAAATAAAAAAAAATAGTAATTGAAACTGGTTACCAAAATAATATATTTAACATATAATGTGTAACCTATACACATATGTATCATTATCACGTTACCTCGTGCTTGGCGGTGAAAAGAAATATCGCGAGGATCTTATTATGTCTGAGAAGTTATTCAAGGACACAGCAAGATCGCAAACACTCACGAGAGCCGTGAAGCGTACTATATTTGTAATTCCACAATAAAGCCATAATTCTGTCAGAAGTGATTTTTTATAGAATAAGGGTAAAAAACAAACACACAGTTCACCTGATGGTAAGTGGATTCTGTGGTTCTTTGAGATATACATATTTAAGAATCAAAATACAGATACGTTTTCACCCCTGAGGACTAAGATGGAATGCCTCTTATCCATTTCTCACTAACTATACGAAACACAAGTTCTCTACACTCACCATATGAAACACAGCAACATTAAGCTGGTATTCTGTGAGACTGTGGTATTTCCTCGGTCGAGCGTATTACAGTCATAACATAGCTGAAACAAGGCTCTCCACGGACTTACTACTTTTCTTTTGACGTTTCGAATATTTTAACAGTTTTTGTTTTTAAATTAAAATAGTCATTTTCTTTTGCTGCAATTATCTCTTGTAACCCTTGAATGACAGATTTTCACATCACTTCTTTGAGATATATTTGGCTAAATGTGCCAGTTTCGACGGAGGTGACGACAGCGGACTTTTATCTGTTTCCTTGGTTCACTTCCGCCCACCGTCCGAACATAATATTTTTCGGGGACCTTATGCACTC